GTTATTCATTTTTTTATTTATAGTACACATCTCCCCAGCAGAATGTCAATCTGATGAGAGAATGGATCTTTTACATCTTTTTTTTAAAGATTTTATTTATTTATTTGAGAGAGAGAATGAGATAGAGAGAGCATGAGAGGGGGGAGGGTAAGAGGGAGAAGCAGACTCCCTGCTGAGCAGGGAGCCCCATGTGGGACTCGATCCTGGGATCGAGTCAGGATCATGACCTGAGCCGAAGGCAGTTGCTTAACCAACTGAGCCACCTAGGCGCCCCAATGAATCTTTTACATCTTATTCATTGCTGTCTCTCGGTTCTTAAATTGGTATCTGACACAGAGAAAGTGCTCAAATAATACTCGTTGAATAAATGAATGAATGGAAAAACCAAAGACTCTATTCACAAGAATATCAAAGGTATAAAATATTTATGAATAAGTCTAAAATACATGAGCTTCTGTGTGATGAATAACACAAATACATAAATATCAAAAATATAAACATAGAGTTCATTGATTTGTCAGTGAACATCCATGCAACCACTGTCCAGGTAAAAAAAAATATATATATAACATTATCTTTACCCCAAAGCGCCCCCCCATCCTTTGCATCACTTTCTAATTTTTACTTTCTTAATCTTCTTCAAAATATAACCAGTATGCTGACTTGCAGTGCTATAGTTTAGTTTTGTCTGCTTTTGAACTTCATATAAATAGAATCATACAGTCTATATTCTTTTGCGTTTGGCTTCTTTTCTTCAATATTGTTTTTGATGCTCATCCATTTTGTCATCTATAGCTTGAGTTCTTTCCTTGTCATTGCTGTGTAGTATTTTATTGTGTGAATACACCATAATTTATGTTTATGTTCTACCATCATATGTATCTCTTGGTGCCCATGAATGCACATTTCTGTTAACAATTTTGTTAAACTCACTTTTAAATTCTTATAATGTATGTGTCAATTTCTCTGTGTATGATAATTTTATTTTGGTTTGGGTCTTGAAACTTAATTAATCATTTAATCGCCTTGTCACATTTGTTGAATTCTCCATTTTTTTCCTATTCTTTCCCTCCAGTCCTGGTTCAGTTTTGAATGGGAGCAGGAATAGTGGGCATACTTGTTTCATTTTTGTTTGCAAAGACAAAACTGGTTTTCCATCTCTTTGTTTCTCTATTCCTTTCTATCTATCTATAACCTCTACTGAGGGACATGTAAGATGAACATAGTCTTGGCTCAGTATGTGAAGATGACAATTTCTCCCACGTGAATGTATCTGTTCTAAAGGTTCCGATCTAGGGCGCCTGGGTGGCTCAGTTGGTTAAGCGACTGCCTTCGGCTCAGGTCATGATCCTGGAGTCCCGGGATCGAGTCCCACATCGGGCTCCCTGCTCGGCAGGGAGTCTGCTTCTCCCTCTGACCCTCTTCCCTCTCGTGCTCTCTATCTCTCATTCTCTCTCTCAAATAAATAAATAAAATCTTAAAAAAAATAAAGGTTCCAATCTAAATCCCTGGGGGAATTTCCATAGACCTTGGTAAACTGGTGGAAAAGCTCCTTTAAAGGAGAGTATGTGCAAGAATTGCCAAGGAATGTTTAGAAAGCACAAACAGTGAGAGAGCTTGCTTGGGCTAGATATGAAGACACGTAGTCTTGGTCAGCTCCCCTAGAAGCAATGCTGCAGACAGGGGTTCTTGTTCAGGGAGTTTTCTGGGTGAGGAGGAGAGGGGAGGGTTTCCTTGAGAGAAGCACGACAGGGAAGGGAAACCTGTTCATCAATCGTGTGGTCTCAGCTAGAGATTGGATTCACTCTGATCATGTGGCCGAAGCTCTGGAGGACAAATTACACTACAAAATCAGTCCTGTCTTGATGCAAGGGGGCTGTCCCGTCCTTTTATATCATTATGCCAGTGAGTCACAGCTGAGGTGTGCCTGGGCCAGGAGGGGTGTGCTGCATGGCTCCCATTTGAATTGTCAGCTGAACATCAGCTGGGTGACAGAAGTACTGGCTAGCAAAGGGAATCTGGTTGGGACCCAGCAGCAACCATTACATTATAGGCTTGGGGAAGAAAAGTGTCACATGCCAGTATCAGTCACAGATGTGCAGAGGTTGTGCCAAAACTTGGGATGGGTGGGGAACCCCCGAGTACTCTGGCTCAGGGCTTCATTATTTTCATGTCCTCACTCAGAAGCATTGGAACCACTTTTATGGTTTCTAATTATCAGTGTTATTTTCTACCTTTGGGACGGTTTTGATACTAGGAGGAAGGGGCTGATGAGACAGAAGGTTAGGGAGGGGTCCAATGATTGGAGGCTGTGATGACATTGAAGATTAGGTTTAGGAAGAACAAGAATGAGAATCTATAAACAGAGGGGGGAGTTTCGGGGTCCAGTAATTTCCAGTAGGAGCAGTTCCTGGTGGTGACGACACCCAAAGTGTGACCATGTATGTGGATCACAGAGGAGAGGGAAGGGGAGGGTCAGGAAAGTGGGAGATGCCGCCAGCATGGACTGTGAAGATATACAGAGGAGTGGTGGGGTTGGAGCAGACAGGAAGAACTTGCATGTGCACAGTTGTGGGTGGGGGGAAGATGTGGTTGGGGAAAGAAGGGGTAAGTCTCTAAAGGGAACACTGAAGGTGATTGAAGGAAGAAAGTCTTTGGAAGGTGCTAGAGCAGGACACTAGGCATGGGGACCTTGCTTCCTGATCCCGAGATGTGAGTCATTGTCCCAGGGAAGACTGTGGGATGTGTGGTCCTCAGGGGAAAGCCAGGCCTCCCTGTGAAAATGCCTGGTAGAGGAAATGCCTTAGGAAAAAGCGGAGGGCTTGTGGAGGTAGCCGGACCATAGAACAGGGGGTCTAGGGTCACAGAGAAAGGAATTAGAAGACATATACTGATAGGGATGTTCAAACATAGAGCATTATTGACAACTCAGATTTCATACCATTTTAAAGAAAATCTTCATTTCAAGGGCATCCAGGATTAACTCCATAACCAAGTGCTGATTCTTTCCAAATCTTACCCCATTGGTGTATCTCTCAGTGACAATGAGAAAGTAAAATTAATTAACTACTGTTTTGAGTTGCTTGAAGAGCTGTAATCAGAATATTAAAAAACAGAAGGCAAACTGTAAGTGTTGAGACTGGCACATACATTACCCGTGCCCCTAAAAGGTTCATCACTGAGCTGCTTCCTTAGGCAGACGTGCAGGTGAGAGGGAAGAGCTAAGATGCCCTTCTAAGATTTGTTTCTTGGCAACGATGACAAATTTTCACACCCTTTACGCAAGACTAAAGCTGAGAATAATCCAAGCGCTCTTTATTTTTTTATTTCAATTCAGTTTAACTAACATATAGTGTATAATTAGTTTCAGAGGTAGAATTCAGTGATTCATCAGTTGCATATAACACTCAGTGCTCATTACATCAGGTGCCCTCCTTAATGCCCATCACCCAGATACCTCACCCCCCTCCCACAAGCCTCCCCTCCGGGAACCCTCAGTTTGTTCTCTATAGTTAAGAGTCTCTATAGTTTGCCTCCCACTCTGTTTTCCTCTTATTTTTCCTTCCCTTCCCCTTTGTTCATCTGTTTTATTCGTTAAATTCTACATATGAGTGAAATTATATGGGATTTGTCTTTCTCTGATTGACTTATTTCGCTTAGCATATTACCCTCTAGTTCCATCCACACTGTTGCAAATGGCAACATTCTTTTTGATGGCTGAGTAATATTCCATTGTACATATACGCCACATCTTATTTATCCATTCATCTGTCTATGGACATCTGGGCTCTTTCCATACTTTGGTAATTGTGGGCATTGCTGCCATAAACATTGGGGTGCCTATGTCCCTTCAAATTACTATGTTTGTATCCTTTGGATAAATACCTAGTAGCAAGTACTGCTTCTTTAATGGACCAGTAGAGATGGTAGGGATGCCTCAGGATTAGCAGGACAAACTGGAATTTGGAGATGTATTTCTTATTGAGTTTTTTTTTTAAATAGTGTTGTTTTCCTGAAATCAGTGAGCTTGTTGGATGTTTATGAATTATTGGTCCTTAGCCCAGTGTTTGGTACATAGTAGACATTCACCAAATGTTTACAGAGTCAACTAAAATGAGGGACTTCATAATTCATGGAAAGAATGCTTGAGAACAAGAGTGCAGTGTGTGTGTGTGTGTGTGTGTGTGTGTGTGTGTGTGTCTCACTACTTTTTCTGCTTCTTTTCTAGCAAGATAGTTTTCTTTCATTCTTCTTTGCATTTGACATCTCAAAATAATGCAACTGCTAAGTTTACTTTATTGCAGAGACTGGGCTTGTCAGGACACAACCCTGAACATCCATGGCAAGTAAAGTATTCATTAAATCAGATCTTCATCAGCCTATAAGCCAGTGATTTCCAACCTTGGCTGCACATCATAATCACCTGGGGTGATAAAAATTCTGATGTCTGATTCTTATCCTAGAAAATGCTTGCTTAAGTTGTCTGGGCATCGTTTTTGTTTGTATCTAAGATGGAGAAACAGTGTTCTGAACAATTCTTTCCAGAGGATCCTCAAGATCATTGAGGATGAAGACCTTTCACAGTCTCTCCACTGGGTCAAAATTCATTTGACTCAGCCATTTGGGTCCTGGGTTGAGCTCCTCAAGTCTTATTTTCCTGTCTGGTTGATTTTTATCTCTTTATGCTTGGTCCTCCAAAATCCTTTATAAGGGATTTTGGAGAAGTTAGAATTTAAACTCTATTCCTCTATGTCGTAAGGTGCACCCTTTTTGAGTTCACAGAACAATTACTGACAACAAGTGCATAACTTCATGGCCATGAGTGGAAGAAATAGGAAACCCAATCCTCAGTTTTGTCAAAAACCTTGCATGTTAATTTTTATTAGGGAAATAGTCATTGAGAAACCAAAGGTTGTTTCACTGGAAATGCAACGATAATGACTAGGGAGAGGCGGAGAGAGCACTATAAATTAAAGATCTCAACAACTCATGTTACACATGCTTCCTGGTTCTTTGCTCAGCCACCTCCGTCTCTCCAAAAACCAGGTAAGTTCTTTCTTCGGCTTCAACTTAAGACTTCTGTTTTTTAAGAACACTGATGTTTGTTTATTTGAAAGAAGTACTTTTGTTATGCATAGTTTTTGTTGGGCTGGTTTTATTTAATACAGAGCCTACACAGCCATGTAGTGACAATGTATCATCATCTTGTTTGACAGTAATTTGATTCATTTTATTTCTCAGTTAACTTGCAAGGAATCCCTGCAAGGCAACTTGGGGTTGAAATGGAAGTTTTAACAGCAGATGTAGAATGCCTTAGCAGGGATGGGCCTTTGATGGCCAAACCCCTTCAAAGTATTTAGGCTTGCAGAAAATTTTATTCTGCATTAATTAATCTCATTCTTGTTTTAGGATTTTTCTGGAAACCTTTATAAACTAGTTATAACATAGCTGCTGGGGAGGAAAATATAAAATGTGTCTTAGCTTATTTTGGTAAATATTAATTGCTCTTAAAAATTATTTCTTTTTGTGTGAGATAACAAAAGTAACATGAACTCATGGTATGAGCCTGAAACAATATAGAGAAGTATAGAAAAGAAAACACTCTCGCCCCTACTTAATAATCCATGGCAAAGAGACATATCTTTGCCCTTCAGGGAAAATTCAGCCCAGAGTCAAATTTTCATGCAGTTAGGGATCGGGGTTTAAGAGAATTAATGTATCCTGCCACTCTCTGCACGAGATCTTGAGAAATAGAAAGTATCAGAGAAGGAGCAGCTGTTGGCTTTATTATTTTAAGGCTGGATTGGAGAACACTGCTTGGACCTGAGGTCAGCAGGGATTCCTAGGCCTTCCACTGGTCTGATCATGGGCCAGCAGCTGGACAGCTAGACAGGAACAGGCAAGGGCTGGGCCTGCCGGGGGTGGGGGAGGTGGGTGCAGAGATTGGCACAGCAGGAGGCAGAGTGCAGATATAGGCAGGCTCTGGCAGAGAACAAGAGAGAAGGAAACCATTTAGGCATTAACCCCACTGCCTGGGGAAATGAGAACAGAAACACTGTATGCTGCTGGATTGATTCACATCTTCTGTCCAGAGAAAGCCAAGAGAAGGGGGAGAAGCAGACAGCAGTGAGTTTTCCCTGGGAGGATGAAAATCTCTATTTTCTGAATCAATGCAGGGAGAGGAAGAGAAACAGAAGGGCTCCTGTGACATAAAGCAATTCAAACAAGTGAAATGTTCTCGTTTGGTTCTGATTGTTGTTGTTGTTCTAGATCTTGCTGGAATCTTCATGGATTCACCTGGTGCAGCATACACTCAGTTTGGGTTTAATCTCTTCCAAAAGCTGAATAAAATACATGATGGCAACATCTTCTTTTCCCCCGTGGGCATTTCAGCTGCCATTGGCATGCTCGTCCTGGAGGCCCGAGGAGTCACCGCAGTCCAGTTACAGAAGGTAAGGAGCCTCCTGTTGCTGTCCAGCATGGGCTCATCTCTGGGGGCTGCCCTCCAGCATTACCTTGAAATGGGGCTGAGAAACAGAGAATGTGTATGAAGACACAGAGGAATTTCAGATCTGTCAGGTACGTCCTCCTCATTTTCCAAATATCGCCATGCCATCTGCTTCTTGGTGCTTGAAATTCCTTTGAGCGGGGGCTGAGCAGCCTTGTCCAAAGTCATTAACCTCATAATTAAAGATAAAGCATGAAGAACAGAACCTACTGGAAGAAGTTGTGAAATCCCTAAGAGGCTATAAATGACACATCAAAGATCAATACATGAATGGCTAAACCACTGTAGGTGAGATCAATGGGCAGTTGAGACCTTTGTGTGATTTTGCAAAGGAGAGACATGTTACCTGTTTACCGCTGAGATTTCTTAAACATTTTACTGATTCTGTGTGAGGGTTTCTCTATTCTGACCACAACCACACTATTTTCTGTCCCTTCCAGATGCTTTTCTCTGAAAAAGATGCAGAGAGCTCAAGAATCAAGACCGAGGAAAAAATGGTGAGGAGACAGGTGTTGCAACCTTCAGGATGGCTGCTTTGTTGACGTGGGCTCCCTGGGAAAATGTGCAGGAGAGCTAATAGTTCATACTTATTTTTAGGCAATTGCAATCCCTCCAGCCAAGGAGGGTTGCTAGTATTATATAATAATAAACCCTTAATATTAAGAGGAGACTTTTCAAAAAAAAATGTATTTATTTACTTTAGAGAGGGGGAGAGAGAGCACGAGCCAGGGGAGAGGGAGAGGGAAAGAAAGAACCCCGCAAGCCGGGCATGATCTCAGGATTCTGAGATCATGACCCGAGCTGAAACCAAGGGTCAGACGCTCAACCGACTGAGCCTCCTATATGCCCTGAGAAGACTTTAACTTTAAAGCACATCGACCACTCTGATGTAAGTGCCCATGGACTGCAAAGTCCCTGTGGCAGAGTGAATGGGTTTAGGAGTTAAACAGATTTGAGTTCAAATCCTGACTCAGTCACTTAACAGCCATGCTACTTTGGGCAAGTTATTTTCTTTGAGCCTCCATGAAGTGTCCAGTGGGGCATCTGGAACACATTGGTGACTCACCCAGTAATAACGGCGGTGGTAGTAGGCAATACTATTACTACGTTCTATTTTTATTTTAAAGCCCCCTTCCTGATATTTTATTTTAAAAATATATTAGCACAGGACCACTGACTTCTTAGGGTCTCTTCCAGCTCTAGGGTTGTAGTATCCCTTACATAAAGGACAATCTGCTCAAATGTGGGGAAGTTCATAGGTCAGGGCTAGCATCTGGAGATGGTTAGAACTCTCAGGAGGGGCACATCTGCCTGACAGTAGTCATAGCTCAGTCCCAGACGCTCATAAAATCATGGCTCCAATCACCCAGCAATACGAGCTGTTCATTTCACAATCCCACATGGCCAGGCTGTCTGGTTGGGTCAGCGGTGTATGTGGAGAGTCAGGCTTCCTTATGAAGTTTGTACAATAGAATTGGGTCAGACAGTTCCTCCACTGTCCACTCAGTCAAGGAGCACAATTGCTTTCAGAGCCTTCTCCCTCCCAAGCATAGTAGCCTGTACAGAATCTTTGTGGGAATTAGAAAAAAGGACACCCCTTTGGACAGGTGCCCACTCCTGGCTTGGTGATGGGGATGAGGGTTGAATTTCAGCTTTGTGCAGGACACAACCTGTATGGCTCTGCATAGCAACTCTGTCCATACCTCAGGACTTTTCTGTGAGTCACAGAGGTACAAAAAAGAATGGAATTACTGACTGAAAGGATATTAGGACTGGGGACTGTCTTGGAGGCCATCTACTCTAATCTCTCTCTCTTTTTTTAAGATTTTATTTGTTTATTTGACAGAGAGATAGAGAGCACAAGTAGGCAGAGAGGCAGGCAGAGGGAGAGGGAGAAGCAGGCTCTCCGCTGAGCAGGGAACCTGATGTGGGACTCAATCTCAGGACCCTGGGATCATGACCTGAGCCGAAGGCGGCTGCTTAACCGACTGAGCCACCTAGGCGCCCCTCATCTCCTTTCTTAATTGATGAGAAAACAGATGAGTAGAATGAGCTGCCCAAAGACAAGCCAGATGTACATTTGATTATCACATGAATTCAGAGTATTCTGAACCTTGCTTTTAAAAACTGAATTTCAAGATTTTAGTATGAGGTCTTGATGATTTCAAGATTTGTTGAAGGAAAACTGCTTTACTACTCACAACACTTCCGACACCAAATGTGGGTTTTTTCCCCTCATGTTAAACAATTGTGACATTAACTGCCTGGAGTCAGAGCAGACCCCAAACATTAAGGGCTCCATTCCATGAGACTTGCCCTACTTCAGATGCCAATTGCAAGGAAGTGAGTTCCCAGATCACCCACACTTCTGTCCAACTTGGCTACAAATCAGAGGATCCCATTACCTCCTACTTAGTTTTGATAATTTGCTATAATGGCCCACAGAACTCAGGGAAACACTACTTTACTGTAAAGGATGCAAATGAACAGCCAGATGAAGAGATATATAGGGTGAGGTCCCAAATTGTCCCAAGAGCAAGAGCTTCTGTCACTGTGGACTTTGGAGTGCACCACCCCCCCAGCACATGGATGTGTTCACCAACCCAGAAGCTCGTTAAACACTGTAGTTCAGGGAATTTTATGAAAGCTTTATCATATAGGCATTATCAACTATTAGCTCTATCTCCAGCCCCTCTCCTTTTCCTGGAGGAAGGGAGATGGGGCTGAAAATTCTAAGCTTCTAATTATGGTTTGGTCTTTTCTGGAGACCAGCCCCCACCTTGAAGCTGTTCAGGATCCCACCAAGAGTTGTTTCATTAGAACAAAAGATGCTCCTATACCAGGAAATTCCAAGGGATTTAGGAGTTCTGTGTTAGGAACTGGGATCAAAGAGCAAATATTAAAACAAAAGATGCTCCTGGTACCCCTATCACTCAGGAAATTACAAGGCTTACGAGCTCTGTTAGGAATTGGAGAAAGAAGCCGAATATACATTTTTTTTAATGTCACAGATGTAAAATATCTTGTTAATTTTTATATATTATTTTTGAAATGATTTATAATACTTAATATATAGTTATGTATTATAGTTATATTAAAATGATGTTTTAGATAGATTTGGTTTGGTAAAATATAATATTAAATTTGATTTCATCTATTTCTTTTTACTTTTAAGAATGTAGTTACTAGAAAATTTAAGATTATACATATGTGGTTCACATGCATTATATTTCTATGGGACATTACTTGTCTATAGTATATATCTGGGAGGTAGGGCTTATGTATGTTTGACTTCATTAAATATTAAATTGTTTGCCAAAGGGATTATACCAGTATCTATTCCACTTAGCAGTGTACATTGGCCCATTTCATACTGTTGTACAGAGAGAGTGGGACCTGACCCCACTGGCCTTGAAATCCCTAGTCATTGATATTCATGCGCAGTTGACACTTGAGTAACATGGGGTTGAATGGCACAGGTCCACTTAGATGAGGATTTTCTTTGGATAAATAGAACACAGTACTGTAAATGTATTTTCTCTTCCTTATGATTTTCCTAATAACATTTTCTTTTCTTAAGCTTACTTTATTGTAAGAATACAGCACATTATATATATATATATATATATATATAAAACACATATCTTGTTTTGATTTTGAAGATTGACAAGACAGAAGAGATACATCACCAATTCCAAGAGGTTTTGGATGAGATAGGCAAACCCACTAATGATTATGAACTAAAAATAGCCAACAGGCTATTTGGAGAAAAGACATACCTCTTCCTTCAAGTAAGTTTTGCTGAGTCCACCACATCTGTGAGTGGTATTCATGAATGGCCAAAGGCCCTTTTAGGACTGTGGGTCCTGGAGGCATGCTGCCTAAGCTGACTCTCTGGCTCAGCCCACATCACAGGGTGTGTTACCCTGCCTGTCCTCCAGACATCCAGACCTTTGGCAGCTTCTTTTTAATTCTGGTGGTTTAATTCTGAGTTTTGCCTTAACCCTATTGCACCTGCAAAAAATGTGCATGGAAGTACTCAAAGTGATTTGCCCAGGTCCTAAAATTCCCTGCTAACAGTGTTAGTCATCTTAATGTAGATACACATTTATTTAGAGATGTAGGAAATGGATAGATTGAATTTTCATCCTTTTTCTATTCCTTCTCTGTTCCTTCTAAAGAAATACTTAGATTTTGTGGAAAAATATTACCATGCTTCTCTGGAACCTGTTGATTTTGTAAACGCAGCAGATGAAAGTCGAAAGAAGATTAATTCCTGGGTCGAAAGCCAAACAAATGGTAGAGTATGGATCTGTCATTTAACACAAAACACTTCTTGAGTACCTGCTCTGAGAGAAGACCTGAGCTTGACACTGCATGTGGGACCAAGGTGCACAAGCTTTTGGGGGGTGCGGACCTGAGATAAAGTTTTCAGGGTTAGAGGGCAGCACTGGGCATGAGGAGTGGGAAAAGACACTACAGATGGTGGAATGGTCTCAGCAAATGGTAGAGAGCCAAGGGGCACCAGAGAGGGACCACAGGAAGCCAACTTCATGGAAAAACACAGTGGAGACTGACTTGCACATGACTGTGGTTTGCGATATCTTTGAGGCTCCTAAAACTGGACTAATGTCTCTGTTGGGTTCACATCTTTTCCTTTATATCAGATCCTTCCTTTCTGAGTCTGGGTCCATAAGTGGAAATGTCACAGTGGTTCCTTTCTCTTTGTCAAGTGAGAAACATTCAGTCTCCTCCCATTAAGACCTGCTTTACTACCTACAGCTGGGGCTGCCCAGGCTTCATCTCCACTCGAGTGTCATGCAGGGGTGATTACAACTTTCAGCCCCATCCACAGCAGAGAACTTGACAGAGCCCTCACTTCATCCTCCCTCCTTATCCCTTAGTAGGAGGCAAACGCACAGGAAATACCAGACAGGACTATTAATATGGAAATATGCTTTGGGGAGCAAAAGCTGATACTTTAGTGTTAGAGTTTCAGAAATATTTTTTTTTAAATTCCACTTGTCAGGAAGACATTATTATTTCACAGTGCATTTTTTGGTCTTCATACTTAGTCCAAAAAATGAAATAAAATTTGGAAGAGCAGGAAAAAAGAGGGCCTATCAAAGGGCTGATTGAAGGCAGTATTCCGTGTGGGATAGGCTAAACCCAGAGACAAAAACACTAGCTCCTTTTCCGATACTATAAAAATCACTAAGTTTTGGGTGGTAACTATATCAAATGGGTAAAAATAATAACAGCTAACACTTACTGAATGCTTCTTATGAGCCAGGTAACATTATAAGTGTTTTATACATATTAAGTCATCTACTCCTTGCAATAAGTCTATGAGGCAGGTTTTATTCCTGTTTTACAGATTTGGAAACTGAGGCACAGCGAGCTTAAATAACTTGCCCGAGATTCCTCAACCCGTAAGAGGCAAAACTGGATGCTCACAGAGGCAATCTGATCTCAGTGCTTGAACTCTTAACCATCACACCTCAATTTATCCAATGGGATAAATAGGCGATGGGCAAAGTGAGAACCTCCCTACGATTCTGCCAGCAAACCTTTTGTCGGCAAGGCATTCAGGTGCTGACCTGGCTGAGTTTTTAATGATGAGTCAAGTCCATCTGCATCATATCTGCCATGCATAGCACTTGTGGTTTTGAAGATGGGCCAATTTTGTTGTTGTTGTTCGTTTGCAGAAAAAATCAAGGACCTGTTTCCAGATGATTCTCTAAACAGCTTCACCAAGCTGGTGCTGGTGAACATAGTTTATTTTAAAGGGCAATGGGACAGGGAATTTAAGAAAGAAAATACCAAGGAGGAGGAATTTTGGCTGAATAAGGTATGGTCCTTAATTTATTTATGTGATGTGATTACACATGGAATGTAAAATCTAAAGTCATATTTGAGCAAATGTCCATGGTAGATAGCAAAGTTGACTCTGAGGCTCTAATCTTTAGCATTATTTTGTGTGGAGCTAATTACTTTGGTGAGCTAACTTGGTTGTCTTATGCCTCTTTTGACATGGCATGCTCTGGTACTTTGTTGCAGAGTACAAGCAAATCTGTGCCAATGATGACACAGTGCCATTCCTTTAGCTTCACTTTCCTGGAGGACTTGCAAGCCCAAATCCTGGGGATTCCATATAAGAACAACGATCTAAGCATGTTTGTGTTGCTGCCCAATGACATAGATGGTCTGGAGAAGGTAAAACCTTGCATCTCCCCCCATCTTGCTTTCATTTCCTGAGGCTCTGCATCCCAAAGCTTGTTTCTGGGTATGCCTGGAAACAGGGCTTCTGTTAGGGAGCTGGTGTCTGGCAGTGCCAAGCAGAAAATACTTCTCGTTCTGTGCAGCAGCTATAGATGGATGTCTAAAGAGGAACATTAGATGATATCAAGTTTATTGAAAACAACCAATAACTAAAATATTTGGGGATGAGCTAAAATGAACATTTAATGTCATATGGGAGTTCTAAAGATCAGCCACCATTCTGAGAAATGGTATGATCTCTATGGTTGATCTCTATTTCTTTTTCCCAGAAAATTGCATTTGCACATACAGCAAATTTTGCATCCTGTTCAGCAGGCTATTAGACCTCCTGAATTTCTTTCTTGGGCCTTTAATTTCTTTTTAAAGATTTTATTTTTTTTTTGGAGCAGTTTTAGGTTTACAGCAAAATTGAGAGAAAGGTACAGAGATTTCCCATGTATCCCCTGGCCCTACACATACACACCTTCCCTCATAATCAACATCACTTACCAGAATGGTAATTTTTTTTTTTTTTAAGCACGGATGAACCTGCACTGACACATAATAATCATCCCAAATCCATAAGACCTTTAATCTTGAACCCCTTGACTTAGTCCCTTTGATTTAAACTTAGACTAAGATATCTCCTAGAATGGATCCAGTACATGGAAGTACTCAGTAAATGATAGATACTATATTATTATAATACTAGATTGTGTTCTGCTGCTGTGAATCATCTCTAGTAGCATTATACGTTGGAAAACTTTGGGACAGCAAAATGGCGATATGTATGAAAGCTTTAAGAGTATTCATACTCTGACCCCCAAATCCCAGTTGTGGGGATTGCCTTAGAGAAATAATTCAAAAGAAAAAAATTGCCTTTCTGAGTGAAATCAATGATTTCTGCATTAAATACACTAGGATACCTAGTTTGAAATTCATCATCATCATCGTAATTGTTATTTTGGGATCCACATTATCTATCAGCATCTATCATGCTGGATACCATGAGATGACTGTAAAGTGAATGGATGAATATTTGGCAAAATTTATCAGCTCGATGGACTTATTATCTATCAGTTTGAAGATATTCAGGAGAGATACAGACTTGTGAAAAAGTTTACATTAAAACAAGTAACATGGACATTCACTGTGATTGCAACTATGTAAATATATATATTATATAATATAAATTATAGCATTTTAATTATATATAATTCATATAAATATACAACTTAATATATATAAATTATATATCACATATTCATAAAAGACTATAGGGGAATAGTAAAAAATGGTATGTATTAGATGGATAGAATAAGAACTTATTTCTCATCTTTAAAGATTCATTTAATACTATTGAGTTTTCACATATACACAGATAATTTAAATAAAGAAGTAAAAGACAAGTGCCTGCTATATAAAGACAAGAGTCTAGTGAAATAAAATTTCTACTTTTATTCATTATTAAAATAAATATTTTCTAATTGATACAAATCAGTGTTACAGTGTTTCAACTTTGTATTGCTAACCATACCGCCTTCCCCTCCTTTTTTTTCTTAATAGGTTATAGGTCAAATAACTCCAGAAAAACTAATAGAGTGGACGAGCCCAGGGCATATGGAAGAAAGGAACGTGACTTTGCACTTGCCCCGGTTTGAAGTGGAGGACGGTTACGATCTGGAGGCTGTCTTGTCAGCCATGGGGATGGGAGAAGCCTTCAGCGTGTGCAGAGCTGACTATCCCGGGATGTCCTCACCCTCCAGGCTGCATGCGCACAAGTTCCTGCACAGGTCCTTCGTGGTGGTAACCGAGGAAGGCACTGAGTCTTCGGCAGCCACCAGTGTGGGCTTTGCCCTCACCTCAGCCCCGGGTTGTGAACATTTTCATTGCAATCACCCTTTCCTGTTCTTCATCAAGCACCAGGAGTCCAACAGCATCCTCTTCTTTGGTAGATTTTCTTCTCCTTAGGATAGTCATTGCAGAAAACCAGTGTTGGAGTATTATTAAGACTATGGAAAGAGCCCAGTCTTTGAAAAAAAATTGTTTTACTTGCTTGCATTCCAATCTTACCATCAAAATCGATGATTTAATGACTGTAATAGGGGGTGTTGTGTTTATAATTCTCCTTCAAAGTGAAATGTCCTTTTGTTTGTGCCACATATAAAGTGAGTTAAATCAAGGCTCATTAGTAATCTCCTGTTGATTTCTTCTGAAAGTAAATCAACTTCTTGTAGTTTTGTGCACTGATGGCAAGAAACAGACTCTTCAGTAAAGACTATAGATTAGTGTTTCTGGGAGTTGCTCTAGTTCTAATAGTGTGACATAATACACAAATAAAATAAAACAGTAATTTACTCAATTCACATGTTATGTTTTTCTTTCTCAGAAGACAGTGTGGCCAACTGCACAAAATTTAGACGCACATTAGCAAAACATAAATTAAAGCTTAAAGTCAGAACAAAATAAAACAGGTATCAGACAAAGAGGATTCCCATATTTTCACCCTCTCTTCTAATGAAGTATCTTATCTGTTGTCGGTTGTGTAAGCATTTTGATATTGTGGAACAAATGTGATTTTGAGAAGCTAAATATTGTAGCTGATCACTATTTGTACCCTGTCACTTTTTAAAATGACAGTAAATATCTGGAATGACTTTTAAAAGAGTGTTTTCTTTCTTTTTTGCCCATTTACGTATTTCTGGTTATTTTGCAAGTGAGCTGTGGGCACTACAAAAGAGTATTTTCTTGAAGATGCTGTTTGAGAGGCTCTCAATCTATTGCCAATGCTCTTTATTATGGGCCTATCCAGTTTTATTTTTTCAGTTTTTAACAAGATCCCATTGCTGACTTATTTTTTAACAGCTCCTTTGAGCTATAATTTACCTACCATAAAATTTACACATTGTAAATTTACAATTCAATGATTTTTGTTAAATTTCTACAGTTCGGCATCTATCACCATAATCCAGTTTTGGAACACTTCCATCATCCTAAAATGTTTTCCTTATGTCTGTTCTCACCCCCAGTCCCAGGCAACTATTGATTTGTTTTCTGTCTTTATAAAATTTTCTTTGACATTTCATATAAATGGAATAATAAAATATGTAGTTTTTTGCATCTGACTTCTTTCACTTGGCATAATGTTATCAAGGTTCATCCAAGTTATAGCATAAATCAATACTTCACTCTTTTTATGGCTGAGTAATATTCTATTACATGGGTATTTCAGATTTTGTTTATTCATTCATCAACTGATGAACATTTATATTGTTTCTACTTTTTGGCTTTTATGAATAATGCTGCTATGAACATTTTGTATACAAGCCTTGTGTGGACATATATTTCCATTTCTCTTGGTATATACCAATGAATGGGATTGCTGGGTCATATGGTGTCTTTATGTTTGTCATTTTGAGGAACAGCCAAATTGTTTCCCAGAGTAGCTGCAACCATTTTACAATCCCATAGCAATGTATGAGGGTACCAATTTCTACTCATCCTTGCCAATACTTGGTATCGCCTGTTTTTAAAATTTTAGCTGTCCTATGGTTGTAAAATAATATCTCATAGTTTAATGGTGTCTTTTGAAGTGCAAGTAGAGTCTAACAAATCAATATTATCTTTGAAGGATAATGCTTTTGGTGTGTTTGAGAACTCTTTCCCTAAATCAAGTTTACAAAGATTTCCACCTGTTTTCTTCTAGAAGTTTCACAGTTTTAACCCTTCCATTTATTTTTTTTATTTTTAATTTTTAAAATTTTTTATTGTTATGTTAATCACCATACATTACATCATTAGTTCTTGATGTAGTGTTCCATGATTCATTGTTTGTGCATAACACCCATGCTCCACGCAGAATGTGCCCTCCTTAATACCCATCATCAGGCTAACCCATCCCCCCCCGTCCCCTCTAGAACCCTCAGTTTGTTTTTCAGAGTCCATTGTCTCTCATGGTTCGTCTCCCCCTCCGACTTACTCCCCTTCATTCTTCCCCTCCTGCTATCTACTTCTTTTTCTTTTTTCTTAACATATCTTGCATTATTTGTTTCAGAAGTACAGATCTGTGATTCAACAGTCTTGCACAAGTCACAGTGCTCACCATAGCACATACCCTCCCCAATGCCTATCACCCAGCCACCCCATCCCTCCCACCCCCCACCACTCCAGCCACCCTCAGTTTGTTTCCTGAGATTAAGAATTCCTCATATCAGTGAGGTCATATGATACATGTCTTTCTCTGATTGACTTATTTCACTCAGCATAACACCCTCCAGTTCCATCCACGTCGTTGCAAATGGCAAGATCTCATTCCTTTTGATGGCTGCATAATATTCCATTGTGTATATATACCACCTATTCTTTATCCATTCATCTGTCGATGGACATCTTGGCTCTTTCCACAGTTTGGCTATTGTGGACATTGTTGCTATAGACATTGGGGTGCACGTACCCCTTCGGATCCCTACATTTGTATCTTTGTGGTAAATACCCAGTAGTGCAATTGCTGGATCGTATGGTAGCTCTATTTTCAACTGTTTGAGGAACCTCCATACTGTTTTCCAGAGTGGTTGCACCAGCTTGCATTCCCACCAACAGTGTAGGAGGGTTCCCCTTTCTCTGCATCCCCGCCAACATCTGTCATTTCCTGACTTGTTAATTTTAGCCATTCTGACTGGTGTGAGGTGGTGTCTCACTGAGGTTTTGATTTGGATTTCCCTGATGCCGAGCGATGTTGAGCACTTTTTCATGTGTCTGTTGGCCATTTGGATGTCTTCTTTGGAAAAATGTCTGTTTATGTCTTCTGCCCATTTCTTGATTGGATTATTTGTTCTGTGGGTGTTGAGTTTAAGAAGTTCTTTATAGATTTGGATACTAGCCCTTTATCTGATATGTCATTTGCAAACATCTTCTCCCATTCTGTTGGTTGTCTTTTGGTTTTGTGGACTGTTTCTTTCGCTGTGCAAAAACTTTTTATCTTGATGAAGTCCCAATAGTTCATTTTTGCCCTGGCTTCCCTTGCCTTTGGCGATGTTTCTAGGAAGAAGTTGCTGTGGCTGAGGTCGAAGAGGTTGCTCCCTGTGTTCTCCTTTAGGATTTTGATGGACTCCTGTCTCACGTTTAGGTCTTTCAACCATTTGGAGTCTATTTTTGTGTGTGGTGTAAGGAAATGGTCCAGTTTCATTCTTCTGCATGTGGCTGTCCAATTTTCCCAACACCATTTGTGGAAGAGACTGTCTTTTTTCCATTGGACATTCTTTCCTGCTTTGTCAAAGATGAGTTGACCATAGAGTTGAGGGTCCATTTCTGGGCTCTCGATTCTGTTCCATTGATCGATGTGTTTGTTTTTGTGCCAGTACCATACTGTCTTGATGATGACAGCTTTGTAATAGAGCTGGAAGTCCGGAATTGTGATGCTGCCAGCTTTGCTTTTCTTTTTCAACATTCCTCTGGCTATGCGGGGTCTTTTCTGGTTCCATACAAATTTTAGGATTATTTGTTCCATTTCTTTGAAAAAAGTGGATGGTATTTTGATGGGGATTGCATTAAAAGTGTAGATTGCTCTAGGTAGCACTGACATCTTCACAATGTTTGTTCTTCCAATCCATGAGCATGGAACGTTTTTCCATTTCTTTGTGTCTTCTTCAATTTCTTTTATGAGTATTTTAGAGTTTTCTGAGTACAGATCCTTTGCCTCTTTGGTTAAATTTATTCCTAGGTATCTTATGGTTTTGGGTGCAATTGTAAATGGGATCGACTCCTTGATTTGTCTCTCTTCTGTCTTGTTGTTGGTGTATAGGAATGCCACTGATTTCTGTGCATTGATTTTATATCCTGCCACTTTACTGAATTCCTGTATGAGTTCTAGCAGTTCTGGGGTGGAGTCTTTTGGGTTTTCCACATAAAGTATCATATCATCTGCAAAGAGTGAGAGTTTGACTTCCTCTTTGCCGATTTGGATGCCTTTGATTTCTTTTTGTTGTCTGATTGCTGTGGCTAGGACTTCTAGTACTATGTTGAATAGCAGTGGTGATAGTGGACATCCCTGCCGCATTCCCGACCTTAGCGGAAAAGCTCTCAGCTTTTCCCCATTGAGAATGATATTGTCTGTAGTTTTTTCATAGATGGCTTTTATGATATTGAGGTATATACCCTCTTATCCCTATACTCTGAAGAGTTTTGATCAAGAAAGGATGCTGTACTTTGTCAAATGCTTTTTCTGCATCTATTGAGAGGATCATATGATTCTTGTTCTTTCTTTTGTTAATGTATTGTATCATGTTGATTGATTTGTGGATGTTGAACCAACCTTGCATCCCAGGGATAAATCCCACTTGGTCATGGTGAATAATCCTTTTAATGTCCTGTTCGATCCTGTTGGCTAGTATTTTGGTGAGAATTTTTGCATCCATGTTCATCAAGGATATTGGTCTGTAATTCTCCTTTTTGATGGGGTCTTTGTCTGGTTTTGGGATCAAGGTAATGGTGGCCTCATAAAATGAGTTTGGAAGTTTTCCTTCCATTTCCATTTTTTGGAATGGTTTCAGGGGAATAGGTATTAATTCTTCTTTAAATGTCTGATAGAATTCCCCTGGGAAGCCATCTGGCCCTGGGCTTTTGTTTCTTGGGAGATTTTTGATGACTGCTTCAATTTCCTTAGTGGTTATAGGTCTGTTCAGGTTTTCTATTTCTTCCTGGGTCAGTTTTGGTAGTCGATACATCTCTAGGGATGCACCCATTTCTTCCAGGTTATCTAATTTGCTGGCATAGAGTTGCTCATAATATGTTCTTATAACTGTTTGTATTTCTTTGGTGTTGGTTGTGATCTCTGCTCTTTCATTCATGATTTTGTTGATTTGGGTCATTTCTCTTTTCTTTTTGATAAGTCTGGCCAGGGGTTTATCAATCTTGTTAATTCTCTCAAAGAACCAGCTCCTAGTTTCGTTGATCTGTTCTACTGTTCTTTTGGTTTCTATTTCATTGATTTCTGCTCTGATCTTTATTATTTCTCTTCTCCTGCTGGGTTTAGGCTTTATTTGCTGTTCTTTCTCCAGCTCCTTTATAACCCTTCCATTTAAATCCATGGTCCATTTGTGTGTGTGTGTATGGGGGGGAAGGTTAAGGGTCTAAGTTATGATTTTTTTGACTATGGATATATAATTATCACCGTATCATTTATTAAAAAGACAAAATTTCTGCACTGAATTATCTTGATACCTTTATAAAAATTAATTAACCATAAATATAAGGTTTTATGTCTGGGGTCCCAATTTTGTTCTATTGAACTATATGCCAATAATGACAATACCACAATGTCTTGATTACTGTAATTTTGTAATCAGGGAGTAAGTACTTTGTTCT